TAATTCCTGGACACTCTGTAGTCTACGGGGCCTTCCACCCGACTAATCCCCGAGTATTTCCTGGACACTCTGTAGTCTACAGGGTCTTCCACCCGACAATTCCCCGAGTAATTCCTGGACACTCTGTAGTCTACGGGACTAATTCCCGAGTAATTCCTGGAGACTCAGGCCTTCCACCCGACTAATTCCCGAGTAATTCCTGCACGCTCAGGCCCTCCACCCGACTAATTTTGCAGTAATTCCTGGACACTCTGTAGTCTACCGGGCCTTCCACCCGAGTAATTCCAGAGTAGATATAGGCCTTCCACCCGACTAATTCCCGAGTAATTGCTGGACACTTAGGCCCTCCACCCGACTAATTCCCGAGTAATTGCTGGACACTCTGTAGTCTACGGGGCCTCCCGACTAACTCCGAGTAATTCCTGGACACTCTGTAGTCTACGGAGCCTTCCGCCCGACTAATTCCCGAGTAATTCCTAGACACTCTGTAGTCTACGGGGCCTTCCACCCGACTAATTCCCGAGTAATTCCTGGACACTCTGTAGTCTACAGGGCCTTCCGCCCGACTAATCCCCGAGTATTTCCTGGACACTCTGTAGTCTACGGGGCCTTCCACCCGACTAATTCCCGAGTAATTCATTCCCGAGTAATTCCTGGACACTCTGTAGTCTACGGGGCCTTCCACCCGACAGTTCCCGAGTAATTCCCGGACACTCTGTAGTCTACGGGGCCTTCCACCCGACTAATTCCCGAACAATTCCTGGACACTCTGTAGTCTACGGGGCCTTCCACCCGACTAATTCCCGAGTAATTCCTGGACACTCTGTAGTCTACGGGGCCTTCCGCCCGACTAATTCCCGAGCGACTAATTCCCGAGTAATTCCTGGACACTCTGTAGTCTACAGGGCCTTCCACCCGACTAATCCCCGAGTATTTCCTGGACACTCTGTAGTCTACGGGGCCTTCCACCCGACTATTTCCCGAGTAATTCCTGGACACTCTGTAGTCTACGGGGCCTTCCACCCGAGTAATTCCAGAGTAGATCTAGGCCTTCCACCCGACTAATTCCCGAGTAATTCCTGGACACAGGCCTTCCACCCGACTAATTCCCGAGTAATTCCTGGACACGGGGCCGAATAATTCCTGGACACTCAGGGCTTCCACCCGACTAATTCCCGAGTAATTCCTGGACACTCTGTGGTCTACGGGGCCTTCCACCCAACTAATTAATTCCCAAGTACTTCCTGGACACTCTGTAGTCTACGGGGCCTTCCACCCGACTAACTCCGAGTAATTCCTGGACACTCTGTAGCCTACGGGGCCTTCCGCCCGACTAATTCCCGAGTAATTCCTTCCTTCCACCCGACTAGTTCCCCAGTAATTCCCGGACACTCTGTAGTCTACGGGGCCTTCCACCCGACTAATTCCCGAGC